AATTTGCCTTTAAACGACCAATTTACCGATTCACAACTTGCACCGATTTCATTAACTCAAGCCCACCACGACATTTATGACAACAAATAATAATCATATATGGTTGCAAACGGCATTAAATGACCCTCGAGATATATCCCCTAGAATTTCAATACTTTTCGACATCGGGCCTCAAAACCTCCAAAATTTCTTAAAAAATGTGGATATTAGTCTTCAATTTTGGAATTTTTTTACTTTTTTTTTTCTCCCGAAAATAAAATTGCCGATGTTTACCGTGATCACTAATACCCTCTGAGAGTCAGATTGGGTGGGCGGAACCATCCAATTTGCTTTTAAGCAGCCAATTTACCAATTTATAACTTGCACCGATTTCATTAACTCAATCTTACCACGAACATTTATGACAACATATAATGATCATATACGATTCCAAATGACATTAAATGACCCCAAAATGTATTCCATAGAATTTTAAGACTTTTAGACACCGAGGCTCGAAGAATCTAAAATTACTCATAAAGCGTGGATACAAGCCTTCAATTTTGAATTGTTTTACTTTTTTTCGTCTGTAAATAAAAATTACTGAAATGTTTACCATGACCCCTAATACCCTATGGGAGTCCATTTGTGTAGGTGGAACCATCCAATTTTCCATTAAACGGCCAAAATACTGATTTACAACTCTCACCGATTTCATTATTTCAAGCCTACCACGGACATTTATAACAACATATAATGATCACATATGGTTCCAAACGGCATTATATGACCCTGAGATGTATCCCCTAAAAGCTCAAGGCTTTTCGACAACAGTCCCCAAAATCTACAAAATTTCTCAAAAAGCGTGAATGCCTTCAATTTTGATTTTTTTTTACTTTTTTCGCTAGGAAATAAAAATTGCAGAAATGATTACCATGGTTAGGGGTGAAACAAACTCGGTTTAAAACCAAACCAAACCGAAAACCAAACCGATTAAGAAATATGGTTCGGTTTTTTTCTTAAGTGGTTCAGTTTCGGTTTGCAAAAACCAGAAACCGAAATTATATGGTTCGATTTTGGTTTCGGAAAATAAGAAACCGAAAAACCGAACCGAAATTTCGGCCAACACCAACGAAACCCTAGCCCAATTTTATACAGTATATAAAGAAAAAAAAACCCCTATTTGGAAAACCGAAATTTAAGTGGTTTGGTTTGGTTCGGTTTCTTTTCTTAAGTGGTGCGGTGTGGTTTGCAAAATCATGAAACCGAAATAGGGTGGTTTGGTTTCGGTTTGGCCTATAAACCAAATCGAAAACCGAACTTTCACCCCTAACCATGGTCCCTAATACCCTACAGGAGTCCAATTGGATGAGTTGAACCATCCAATTAGCCTTTAAACGGAAATTTACCGAATAACAACTTGCACCGATTTCATTAACTCAAGCCTACCACGAACATTTATGACAAAATATAATAATTATAAATGGTTTCAAGCGGCAATATATGACCCCGAGATGTATTACCGAGAATTTCAAGACTTTTCTATACCGAGATCCCGAAACCTTTAAAATTTCGCAAAAAGCGGCGATATACTTCAATTTTGAAATTTTTTGACTTTTTTGGCTCGAAAATAAAAATTGCAATAATGTTTACAATGACCCCCAATATCCTACGGGAGTCCAACTAGATGGGTGGAACCATCCAATTTGCCTTTAAACGGTCAATTTATCGGTTTAGAACTTTTTCGATTTCATTAACTCAAACCTACCACGAATATTTATGACAACATATAATGATCATATATGGTTCCAAACGGCATTATATGACCCCAAGATGTATCCCCTAAAATCTAAATACTTTTCGACATCGGGCCTCGAAACCTCCAAAATTTCTGAAAAAGCGTTGGAATTTTTTGACTTTTTTTCGCCCGTATATAAAAATTGCCGAAATATTTACCATATTCCCTAATACCCTTCGTTATTCCAATTGGGTGGGTGGAACCATCCAATTCGTCTTTAAACGGCCAATTTATCGGTTTACAACTTGCACCGATTTCATTAAATCAAGCCTCCCACGAACATTTATGACAACATATAATGATCATATATGGTTCCAAACGACATTATACGACCCCGAGATGTATATCCTAAAATTTCAAGGCTTTTAGACACCAGGCCTTGAAACCTTCAAAATTTCTCAAAAAACGTGGACAATAGTTTTTAATTTTGGAATTTTTTAACTTTTTTTCGCCCGAAAATAAAAATTGCCTAAATGTTTACCATGATCCTTAATACCCTTCGCAAGTCCAATTGGGTAGGTGTAACCTTCCGACTTGCCTTAAACGACCAATTTACCGGTTTAAAACTTGCACCGATTTCATTAAATCAAGCCTACCATGAACATTTGTGACAACATATAATATGGTTCCAAACGACATTATATGACCTCGAGATGTATCTACTAAAATTTCAAGGCTTTTCGACACCGGGCCTCGAAACCTCCAAAATTTCTGATAAAACGTGGATATTGGTCTTCAATTTCGGAAATTTTTGACTATTTTTCGCCCGAAAATAAAAATTTCCAAAATGTTTACCATGGTCCTTAATACCCTCCGGGAGTCCAATTGGGTAGGTGTAACCATCCAATTTGCTTTTAAACGGCCAATTTACCGGTTAATTCTTGCACCGATTTCATTAAATCAAGCCTACCACGAACATTTTTGACAACATATAATGATCATATATGGTTACAAACGGAATTATATTATCGCTAGATGTATCCCCTAAATCTAAAGTCTTTTCGACACTGGGCTGTGAAACCTACAAAATTTCTCAAAAAGCGTGGATTTTAAGCATTCTATTTTGGAATTTTTTGACTTTTTTTCGCCCGGGAAAAATAATTGCCAAAATATTTACCATGATCCCTAATTCCATTTGAGAGTCCAATTGGGTGGATGGAACTATCCAATTTTCCTTTAAACGATCAATTTACCGGCTTACAACTTGCACTGATTTCATTATCTTAAGCCTACCATGAACATTTACGACAACATATAATGATTATATATGATTCCAAACGGCATTATATGACTCCGAGATGTATCCCTTAAATTTTCGAGACTTTTCGAGCAGAGCCACGAAATCTCCAAAATTTCTTAAAAAACGTGGATAAAACCTTCAATTTTGGATTTTTTATCTTTTTTTGCCCGTAAATAAAAATTTCCTAAATGTTTTCCATGGTCCCTAATACTCTCCAGGAGTCCAATTGGGTGGATGGAACCATCCAATTTGCCTTTAAACGGCCAATTTACCGGTTTACAACTTGCAACGATTTCGTTAACTCAAGCCTACCACGAACATCTATTATAATGATCATATATGGTTCCAAACGACATTTTATGACCCCCAGATGTATTCCCTAAAATATCAAGATTCTTCGACACTGGCCCCGAAACCTCCAAAATTTCTTAAAAAACATGGACATTAGCCTTTAATTTTGGAAAATTTTGACTTTTTTTTCGCCCGGAATAAAAATTGCCGAAATATTTGTCATGGTCCCTAATACCCCCCGAGAGACCAATTGGGTGGGTGGAACCATCCAATTTTCCTTTAAACAATCAATTTACTGGTTTACAACTTGCACCGATTTACCGGTTTACAGCGGCCAATTTAATTAACCTGCACTGAACCCGAGTTGAACTAAAGTTGACCCAAACCCGTTTTAACCCATTAAAACCCGAATTTAACCCGACTAGTTACTAACCTGACCTGAATTCAACCCGGCCCGTTCCTAACCCGACCCGAATTTAACCCAACCTATTATTACAAACCCGACTTCTTATTGACATGACCCAAATTAAACCTGACTTGTTATTGACCTGACCCGAATTTTACCAGACCTTTTACTTACCCGACCCAAGAATTCCACCCGATCTGTTACTAACTCGACTCGAAATTAACACGACTTGTTATTGACCCAACCTAAATTCAACCCAATTATTTCTGACTCGATTTCAAATCACCTTAAATGCAATTTAGACAACCTTATTATTGTTGATCAAATCATTTTGTCTAGGGAGATTAAGTCGGTCTAGGCCAACAAAAGAAAGGAGCATCATCCTCAAATTTAAGAGTTAAATATAGTATATATTTGTTGTATGGTCGAAGGAGATAATTATCTTCCTAAATTATAGACTATACTTCCCTAATATATTGCCATAGATATTATAGGAAAAGGAAATAATTATCTTGATTAAAATGATAATTATCTATTTATGGTTAGTTGAACCCGAATATGACCTGACTTATTGTAACCTGTAAATTATTGACTTGAACATAACCCGACTTGGAAATGACCCAACCTGATTATAATCCGCAAATTATTAACTTGAACCGAATCCGACTTGAACCCGAGAATGACCCGGCTTGAAAATGACCTGGCCTGATTATAACCCGCAAATTATCGACTTGAACTGAACCCGACTCAAACCCGAGAACGACCCGACCTGATTCTTACCCGCAAAATATTGACTTGAACCGAACCCGAGCTAGAATTACCCTAACCCGTTTTAACCCGTTTTAACCCGAATTATATCCGACATACTGTTCACCCAACCCGAATGTATCCCAACCCAAACCTGAGAAGAAGTATGACCCGACTCAAGCATGACCCAACCCAAACCCGACTCGCACAGGTTATGAAATTAATCCGAATTGACCCGACCGAGTTGACCCGACCCACTCTTACCCGATCAAAACCTGACCCGTTTACCCGAATTCACAGCTCTAACTTTTATTACGTACAACTAAATATTTTTGGTCGTAATTGCACGTTTGTAATTAAATTATATGGTGTATTTGAGTATCTATCTACGGAGTATTAAATTAATTAGGAGAAAAATCATAGGCCATTATTCATCTAAAATGCGCTTTTTTTTTAACCATGAGGATCGGAAACTATATGAATTATTGAATTACTTGCTGTTGAACTCCGTAAGATCAAAACAAAATAGAGCGTAAAAATATATAATATGCCGCAAGATGTTACTTATTAATTATAATTGTCAGTACTCCAAAGAAAAAGATAATCATACAGAAGTATATTGACATTTTCCTTTTACCGTGTGCATGTTTTTACTCTTCAATCAACAGTATAATTATGTAAACGAATACAAGAACAAGAAAAAAAAAAAAAAATCAACATATGATCTTTCTAAAAATCCGGTAAAATTGATTTGTAAGTGAGCTAATTTAATTTAATTCGAGTTAAGCAATAGAAGCTTTCTTCATGCTCCAAGCAGTTAGTCCAGTGATTTCAACATCTGATGTCCCTTTGTTGAACACATATAAATGAGCCTTTTCATTGATTGCCAATGTGGGATATACCCTTGATGTTATCACATTCTTTCCTTTTGCTCCGAAGCTCTCCACCACTGAGTGATCAATCTGTCACGCATAAAATCAACATACCAATTAAAACCTCGATATATAATTATGTATACTTACTATACATTTTAGATTTCCTTAGAACAATTTCTAAGATAATTGTTCTAACATCTTCTGAAAGCACATACTCTAAAGTGCACCTAACAATTTATCGATATAAAAATTAAATATAGTCACTTTGTACATAATATATTTATCTTATACAAAGTACCATTAAGCAATTTAAAAAATTATAGAGCACATAAAAACTATTACTTACCAAAACTCTCAAAGACAAGCCTTCAAGAACAGGATTCACATCCACAAAAGTTCCATAAGTTGTTTTGTCGTTAGTTGGATTTAGAGAAGACCTACAAACAATATACAAAACAGTTAATTAATACACATCTAATCACACATACATCCTTTAACTTAAGATTAATATTAAATTTGATTGGTCAAACTACAGATTAGAGAGAATTAAAATGTTAAGTTACCTGCTTTGGTCACTACACATAAGGACAACAAATTTATTGTCATAGGCTTTGAAAATTCTGAAGAAAACAGCCGTGTACTCTTTTAAGCCTTTGGATGCCAAAGTCATAAGCCCAAATGGTCCAAGCCCACCTTTGACTGAAGCCCCCTTTTTGCTACAAAGTAACTGTGGATCAGTCCAACTTGCATCAAACTTCTCCACGTGCTTCAAGTCCTTGATTTTGAATAACACTTCTACATCAGCCTGTCGATATGAGGTGACCAATGTTATCGTAAAATAGTATACGTGACTATTAATTTTAAAATTACGATGATAGTAGGTATGTGGCAATATTGGTAAATAGATAGTAATTGATGATGGATGTGTAGTCTTGTTTTTACCTGTGCTGCGGTGATGCCAGTGACTTCATTTAGTGATCCTCCTTTGATCAATTTGCCGTATAATTTGACAGGATTTTGTCTCAACTTTTCAATATTTGAAATTGGCCATTGAATCAACTGCTTCACTGATTTGTCAAGCCAAATCCTTCTTGGAATTGTCTGCATTTTCAGATTGAAAATTGTATCAAGTACCCAAATATATTATTCTTTATACTAACATAATTTTAACACATCAAAAATAAAATGGATAGAAAAATCTTACGTGGATCCCGGACCATCCCTTTTTAATGTCATATTCAACACTAGAAGACTCATTAGCCCAACCAAGCAAAATCCTCTCCTTCTTAGCATAGTCGAAAAATGTCTTAGACGCGTAATATTTCCCATAATCATACCTTAAACTCGACTCGTTCATGTAACCCACATCAGGGGTGTACGCATCCTTGGTAGTATTATAACCTCCAATTGTATAAACATCATGCTTACTTATATCCAAGCTAACTTTAAGCACGTGCTTAATGTTACGACCAATTATAGAAGTATCAACACCCATTGTGTTACCGTTAGCATAAACCGGGAAAAAATCAGGACATTCCCACATACCACTAAGTTTATAAGAATATAAAGGGTGTTTAGCTTGAACCCAATGAACAAAATCTTTGCTTCTAAATAACAAGGATAATCCACGCTGTCCTCGTTTGCTTCCGACGAGCACTCTCCATCTGCCATCTGGCAACATCCACGCAGTTGTGGGGTCCCTAAATGAGGTGGCATTAATTTGATTTTGTGGGGTAGGGAACATGACTGGATTTTGGGGTGCCAAAAACCATTGTTTAAGATAAGGGTCTTTTATGTTTTTAGGGTAGGCTAAAACTTGGACTTGTTCATATTTTGGGTCAAGTCCAGTGAAAAGAATTGCTGGTTTATTTCCTGGGAGTATTGTGGCTGACCCTGACCAACTTCCATTAATATTGGAAGCCATTTCTGGCTCCATTGTTAATGGTTGTGGTGTCCAGTTTACTAGATCTGTTGATGTTGAGTGACCCCAAACGGGTGGACCCCATACTACCCCGTTCGGGTTGTACTGATAAAATAAATGATATATGCCTTTGTATAACATCGGCCCTATAAAAATAAAAAATATTATATATTAGAATTTTTTTTCCGAACATCTTAAAAAATATATGTATGGAGTAAATAAATCATAAAATTAGTTTTCCTATAATGTGCACCCTAATTATATTAATGTTGCAAATGATCCTTCTAATTAGTCCGAGCTGACTATTAATTTAATTGTTGAATAAGAACTTATACTCTCATCTCATTGTAACAATTAGTAAATTCTTACTCCGTATTAGTTAGCATGTATATGGTATACACATTGATTATTTTATACGGAGTAGCTTTCAGCTGTATATGTCTCAGTGTGGTAATGTACGAAAATATCCAGGAAAAAATAAAGTTAGTGAAATTGACAGTTTTAATGTAATTTATTAGTCTTCAATGTCAAACAAAGATTATAACAGAAACTATATGTAATGAAATCAAGAAGAAAATTTTGCCAACATATGTGGAAAAGTCTTTTTTTTTTTTTTTTTTTTTTTTTGACACAGTGGAAAAGTCAATTATACACAAATAAGTAAACATCTTTAATCAACTACTATAAATTTAATTAATTTAGCCAACAAATTAAACAAGTTTATCTTCTTTACGAAATTTCCTATCAAATAAGATATGGTTTTATAAATTAGAAGAAGAAGATTAAAAATGAAATTTGAAGTTTATTACTACCTCCGTTTTATATTTTTTACAACTTTTGCCAAAAATGGATGCTACACATGATTTGTAACAAATGTTTTATTTCCTTTTTAGGTTGTCATTTCTTCCTATTTCTCTTCTCGTCGCATACATACCTATTTTTCTCTCTCTATCTTACACTCACAAACGAATTTTTACCTAAAATTTCATGCACCCTTTCAAAGTTGCAAAAAACGTAAAATAGATGCAGTAGTAAAAGACATATTAGAAATTGATAATTTTTGTACGTAGTAATTGAAACACTAGGAAAACAGACAGAAAGTTGCTTTACAAAATGATACGATTGAATAATGAATGACCAAAATTAAGTCACAAGATCCAAAAAGGTCGCCACTTTGTGACAGCTTGTCAATGTAAAGGTTATACTCATGCGGTGGCTTTGTGAGTTCCATATTTATATATTCAAGAACTTTATTTAAGCAATATTGGTAGGTAGGCTTTATCGATTCCTACAATTTGGCATAATTGTAAACTTTACAAATCATAAAAAAAAAAAAAGTATTTTTTTCCAAACTACGTATTAAAATAGGTTTTAATCTTTTGGTGAGTTACCATAATATTAGCCTTAATTTTTTGTGAGTTAACATGTTTTTAGTGATTCGTAGAAGATGTTACGATGGGGTAGTTAATTCCTGTACTTTTTAATGTATTATCTGAAGTAATTTGCACTCAAAATGTTGCTATAATATTTTTAGACAAAATTTTGAGATTTGATCTTGTAAATTAAAAAAATAAAAAATAAAAAATTTAACCTATCACTCAATTTTTTAATATTTAAATAAGAGATTTATACAAAAGTAGAGAAGAATCTAAAGTGAACTAAAACTTTGTACTTGATCAAGTTTACATGTAAGATGTTGACTTTAGTTATGTACAAACAAAATAGAAGCACAAGGTTAGAAAAACTAACCATTCGGATCTGCAAATATACACAATAATCCATCCAGTTACGCATTCCACCAGCACATAGCAAACATGGAAAAGTAAAAAAGATGTTAAGCCTTTGATCATGAAAAAACAAGCAATCGGCATTCATCACCTAAATATATACGGTACATATTTAATTAACTCGATTAATAATTAATGTTAATACAAAAAGTTTTTGAAACGTACCATTGATCCAATTCTTGCGAGGTTGAAAATGGTAGGCGGTTCGATAAGGATCACCCGAAGGTGGAGATTGCGCGGCTGCACCATAGCCAAGGAAGAGGAGAGAAACAAGTAACAAAGTCACTTGTTTTGGTAGCTTATAGGAAGCCATGAGTAATGCTTGATATGAATAATATGAATTGAAGAAGATTAAAACTTGGGAAGAAATAATATGGTTTTGAGTTATATTATATGGTTTGGACCATATGTTATTATGCTTGCATGTATATACGTTTGGGTATTATATAGGGAAATTGTGGATTGGTTTATTAGGATGAAATAAAAAGTCAAACCTAAATATGGTGGGACCCTCACGAAGGTTTTATGGGTTAATATTGTATTAGAGATGAAACATCAATGCAATAAGTGGATAGAGATGTAGCTAATTAAGGATTTGTATGTTAATTAATACAGTTATAATTATTAATAATTAAATAGGTTAATTGAAGTGTAAATTATGTCTATGCTAGTATTTTTTTAATTTTCAAGTGGGAAATAAACAATTAGTCAATGGTCAAAGTTTATATTTCGGTTTCTCAATACCTCATGCATGGTTGATGGTTGTTGGCTATGCTAATTTTGAATATCAAAGAAATAAGATACGGTACTAATTATATTGGTGTATGATTACGGCTTTGAAAAGTAGTAGTCCAAATTGTAGTAAACGAACTCATGCAAGTATTGGATTATATTCAAGCTAATATGAGAGCTAAGTGAGGCCTTGGGTTTTCAAACTTGAAACATAAAAGGAGAGTACGTTTAAGATGAAGATTGGATATAATTTATTTGTTTTATCAATAATAATAATAATAATAATAATAATAATAATAATTATACTCCGTAATAATAATCATCATCCTTAATAAATTTGACTTTAGTTTATAAGAGTAATATTCATTTATATGTATGAGTAACCTCAATTTTTCATAAATAATGTAACCTCATGTTTTCCATATATAAAAGTAGCAAAAATTCATTATATGAGTGAATTCAAGTAATTTAGAAATAAGTAACTTTATTTATTCATTCGAGTAACTTTTATTTTTTTGTTTTGAAAAATAAAAGAATAATTCTACTTATTTAAGAGAGTAACCCTTATTTCTCATTTAAAAAACCTATATACATGTTAAGGTAACCCCTATTACTTAATTAATTGTCTTGTATGTGTTTATATAAAGTGGTCATACCATGTGGCTAGCCACATATAAGACTTTATATTGACTTTAACTTGATATAAAAATTCATATTGGGTGCGATTGATAATAAGAAGTCTTGATAATAAATAAAAAAAGTAATGAATAAAAAAAATTGAAACACATTATGAATGCACATAAAACAAATAAAACGACATTCATAACAAATTAACAACACACAAGTACAAGAAAGAAAAAATCTTTTAACATAACATTTAATCAATATAATAACTTCATAGTTTATGGGTTTTATTTTTTTATTTTTAATTCTTTTTAACCAACTTTCAACCACAAACCTTCAAAGCTCCAATAGTATTTAAATTCTGTGCACTTTTTTCCCCTTGTTTTTTCTAATAAAAAAAATTAAATCCCATTATTTTTCCCATAACTTCTTTTATAATTCTTAATAAAAAAAAAAAGAAAAAAAAAAAAAAAACCTTCTAACTTTTTATCCTCCAAAACCATTAAATTTAAAACATATTATTTTAACATTACTTATATTGTTCATATAATATACATATCCCGTGCAAAATGGACACTCTAATAGTCTAGTTCTAATAATTTAAGAAGTTGATTATTTCTTGTATTAATGAATTGTCCAACGGCTACAACGCGCTCCAGACGCCATGTTACTTCCCTTGGATACACTTATTACACTAAATTGTACAGTAGTTCGTTCCTATACTTTAGATCTTGGAGTAAAGAACATACTTAGATTTTGGGTTTTCCCACTGCCCATTGCACTACTTTACGTAAGATTATTTTTTCTAATTATAATATTTATATGAAATCTAAATTACTAATTAAATATACATCCATGTCATTAGGCGTACCACTCTCGCTCCAAGTACATATAGTACTGATTTTTGTCTATTTTGTGTGTACACGAATTTTATTACAAACCAAAAAAAAAAAAAAAACAAAAAACAAAAAAAAAAAAAAAAAAAAAAAAGAGAGAGAGAGAGAGAGAGAGAGATGGAATTTTCAATTTGGTAACCCCAATTACTGGACTTATTTAACCATTTCATGAAAATAATGTAATAAAGTTGGGAGGAAACAGGGATATACAATCAATACGTATGAATATGTATATATAAGAATATAAGATTATAAGGTGAGTGACGTTGATTCATTGTTAAATATGCAACTCAATTAGCCTCACAAAAAAAAAGTCTAATTTTAAATAATAAATAGTTGAAAGTTGATGAATTTCACCCGACCAAAATTGTAGTTTATTCCACGGGAAAGAGGTTTTTCCATATACTAATATATTTGACAGAAAAAAAGGATTTTACTCATTATTGCTCATTACTGTATAATTTTGTACGAAAGATATTTTGCCCTTTTTTTTTCTTTTTGAGAAGCAAGTTGTTGACATGTAATAACAATAAAATAAAATATACTGTTATTAGTGTTATATCAATCCTGTATATATAATATAATTCTAATATAGAAATAAATACACCGTATGTCCGTATGTATATACTCCATACTAGTATAACACTGGTAGTAGTTAAATAATATTAATTGGCACATTGGTTGTAGGCTACTGGCTACTACTAGGCATTGAAATCTTGTAATTTTACAAAATTCCACGATTCCTAGTTTTCAACGTGTGAACTAAAATACGTTCACGCACTTATTTGCGAGTAATATGGCATGCACTTTTCCTCTGTTTTTTTTATTTGACACCGTTTGACTTTTATACTAATCACACAATACGCTTCGCTTTTGTGGTTTATAAATACGATAAAACATATTCACGTGGGATCTTTTAATATCCGCTTTTTAATATTTTACAATAGTAATAGAAATATTAATCGTTAAAAACATGCGTTGACAAACGTGATAATAGAAAGATATCAACTAAAAAAATAGAAGAAGTATATACATATACGAATACGATACAGTATACCCTTACTATTTTGGCACTGATCAATATTTGGAATACTATTAATATAATTACTTTAATCATATCTTTTATTTATACTTGTAAAAACAGCTTAGTATTACTTTGTAGATTAAAAAAAAAGTGCAGTATTAGAGTAGTTAAGCTGTTAAATTAGTCTCAAAATATATATTGTAAAGATATAAATTATTTATAATGGTTTTTCTTTGTTTTTATTTTTTTTCTATTTACAGATAAGATACGGGGTACCTCTCTTATCACATAAGAGGTGAGAATTATTTATAATGGTTGCTAGTGAATGATTTAAGATATTGTTGTTAGATTTATTATTAGCAAACGTTCCCAAGCTTAGCCAATAGAAATACAATGGTAAAGTATTATGAGATACAGAGTACAAAATAGATGGAGTTGTACGATTTTATTTTATAAGTCATAAACTGATTATTGAAGTCAAAATATAGCTGCTCCCTTTTTGTGCGTTTTTTTTTTTTTTTTTTTTTTTTTTTTTTTTTTTTTTTGAGGAAATCTCTTTTTGTGCTTTATGATATTTGATTTTAGTTTTGTGAATATTTTACACGAAGCATGATTCCCATTGGACAAAAGGGGTATGAAATCGGCTAACCGCCCTACCATAATCCACGTAATTAGGAGGTGGAACTATTGATTTTATCCCTTCTTTTATCTAGTCAAATTAGCGGTATAAGACTTATCTATCTATCTTATGATTTTCCCTTTAAAAAAGTCTTCATTTGCTTGTAAAAAAAAAAAAAAAAGTCTTCATTTGGACCGAACAATAATAATATTTATTTAAATCACATGTTATATTGTATGAACATTGTCTCACCCTTATACTTCTTCCTCTAATTAACTCTAATACTATACAGTACATTTCATATGAAAAGAGAAGTACAAGTGTACAACTAAAAATATCCTAAACAATTAGTATGAAATGTATTACTCCTAAAAAAATTATTTCCTTCCCCTCTTAATATATATTCTAAAATAATATATATGATTATTTCATATGAAAAGAGAAGTACAACTAAAAATATTCTAAAATAATTATTTCCTTCGCCTCTTGATAGTTAATACTACGTATAATCCTACTTTTCTTGGTAGGTTTTTTGATTATTCTCGTAAAAAAAAAAAAAAAAAAAATCTTTGATTATTTACTCAATCCTAAACAAAAATTTAGCAATATTATGGGAGATCATAATTACAATGTACCTGGAACATTAAAGTAAAATTTAAGTACGAGACGTAATTATAAACAAGTCAATTAATTTTATGTATTTTTATTATAAAGTCAAAAGAGTGTCACTAAGAAAAGGAAAATTTACACTTTGGTGTCCCAACGTTTAAGTAAATTCCACTTAGGTGACCCATGGTTTCAATATTCCCATTTTAGTCATTAGATAATAATTGTTCAATATTAGTGCCTAATAGTTAACGGTGTTAAATTCTCCGTAAACAAAAAAAAAAAGAAAAGAAAAGAAAAGAAAAAAAAAAACTAAAGTTGTATAATTAATTAATTATATTAGGGTCTCTAAAATTTCCCCCAAAACCCATTTACCTCATCTCTCTCAAAATTTCCCTCTAACTTCTACGCCTCTAGGTTCTACACTGCTACTCATTTCCATAATTCATCACAAACTAATAAAATAAAATTTGTCTCATTCATTGGTGAAGGTAATGCCGCAATCGTAAAACTCAATCCAAGCGACTAGATCTTACAACAGTTGCATCATCGCAACACGCCAAGTTCCTCACTGAACAATAGTATTCTAGGGTTTTTATTTTTTTTTATTTTTATTTTATTAACATTACTTTTTGGGCATGCATGTAGTCATTAAATTTTTTGGGTTACAAAAAATGATGTTAAAAGTGCAGTACATTGACTTTTTAATTGTTTTTAATCAATTTATGCATACCTAAGGATATATTTTTGTTTAATAGCTGTAATCTTAGTTTCATGGCTCTTAGTTTCACGAGGAGAAAGAAGTTCCACTACTATATTATTGACATCTTTTACACGTAGTATATATATATATATATATATATATATATATATATATATATATATATATATATATATATATATATATATATATATATATATATATATATATCATGGTCTGGTTATGTTTTAATGCTAATATTTAGCTTTAGTGCTTTAGTTTAATAAAAAAAATATTGATATTTTTCAAAAGAAAAAATTAACGGAGAGTTTAACACTGTTAACTATTAGGCATTAATATTGAACAACTATCTAATGATAGGACACTAAATTGGGAATATTAAAACCATGGGTCACCAAAGTGGAATTTACTTAAACGTTGGGACACTAAAGTGTAAATTTTCCCTAAGAAAACGAGTCTCTATCCTAATAATAACTCTTCCTTTTAGTATTATTGGTAACTTGAACATGTCATTGAAGCTAGAAAGATTGTTATTGGTGACATCATAATCCGATGCCTGTTTTTAATTTGGACACCACCACCTGAAAAAGAGTGACAACCATGCATAAACATTGTAAATTAAGTCAACTGCAATTAGCCCACCTTTCCTTAATTAACAAGATCTAATCTAGAGATTATGCTATTTTGAGAACCTAATTACTTCAAAGCACAAGCAATAATTAGCTTTTTATAATGCATCAAGAAGATGATTAGCATTTTACGTCAATTTGATTTGCTTGTTTTCGAGATTAAACACATGCTCATCCGTAGATCATGCCTACTAACTTGAAAACACATGCATAATTTTGTCTTATATTAAGAAATACTCGGATCACAGATTCACAATCGTACTATACTATACGGAATTACGGAGTATAATTTGTATGTACTATAATACTCTATATTAATATTTATTTTGTTCGGTCTTTAACTGAATAATAACTAGTGAGGTATTCGGTGTAAAATAGAATTGCAATTTAATCAGTTTTATGTTAAATATATAATAGAATTTTCTTATAATGATATGAAATATATTAATATTCTTAAGACGATCTACATTAAAATAAATCATAGTCCTCTAAAAATCTTAAACGATACGTAGTATATGCTATTATCATACCTAAAACCATTATTTTTACAAGAGTACTTAAAAATATGGAGTAGAAGCTAAGTCATAAATTGAATTAGGGGTCATGATCAAGGTTGTAAAACAACACATTTCCTTCTTAATCACACAATTTCACACGATTCTTTATTTGTTTTTTTTTTTACAAGAAAAAAAATAATTCAAAGAAAGCTTTTTTAATGTCTTGGGCAGTCTAATTATTTTTATAACAATCAATTTAAGATAAAAATTTAGATTTGTTCTGTTGCTATAGGTTTGTAATTTAGCTATGAAGTAATTACAATTTGAGGTTTGTGAATTGTGACTATCAAAGGTCAATGCTAGTTACTTTGAATGTAGACCTCTAAATTAAAGTGGCAATTATTTTTTGATGAATAAGGTATTAAATGTTTCAAATATATGGATTTTACTACATTATCCGAAATAAATAAGGGAAACAAAGTTATGCGAGAAAAACAATATAAAATCCACAAGTGGGAAAAGGTACAAGTATTGAAACTAATGTGTTTACAAATGACACCACACAATTAAAAACTTTATTCAAGTGAGAGATCTTGAATCTCAAAAGTAGAACACAATCAAAAACTTTATTCAAGCAAATTTCAGAAAATTCTGAAAAGGACCCAAAGAGAACACAAAGTTACACATTACTCGTGTACCAAAATTCATATCTAAATCTAAATGTATATCATTATATGTGGCAATGATGATGCAAGATAGTTTAAATGAAAAAGTGAAGTTACAAAAACTAAAATCATGTGAAAACAAGAAAAAAGTAGGTGAATTTTTGTATCGTTAAATTAACAACCAGCAAATTCTACATAAATCATACTAGGATTTGAATTGGATAAGTACTACTTACTACAAATTTTGTAAGGTTACCCAAAAATAAAAGAAAGTAGTTGTGTTGTGTGTTACCCGTGTATATGTTCATTCCAAGAGATATTCAATTTTTTGTGCAATTGCAGATTGCACCAAAAAGGGTTGCAAATTGACCAAGTGGATTCCACCCAATAATAATGCTTCTAATGTCTTTTACGTAGTAAGTTTTGATCCTCCCACCTCGATCTACATTGTTCTACTTTCGAAAAGGTTGACCAAAAAAGAGTACATTTTTTAGGTGTAAACGAGACGAGACTTATGAAGTATTATTAGACAACTCAGGACATTATAGAAAAAGGCTGACGTTTTTTAAATAAAAAATATACTCCGTATATGATTTCGGCATGAAAGGAGGTCTCAGACACCACTCCAAGACTTTAACCAACTTATATGACAGGGTTTGAACGTTTGGAAGTTGCAAAACTTACCTTAACATTCATGTCTACTGATATATTGCTGATGTAAAAACCTTCTGTAATGGGAATTTTGAATAAGCTTTTGATATATATATATACAATGAGATTTTTAAGCAAGCCCAATACTTTATTATTTGTCAGCATATTTCTAGCCCACTAATATTAGAGTTGAACCACATAACTCAATCAAGCTAGATGCTGAACCATACGGCCCATACAGCATATTTCCTGCAGCAACAATAGTTGCATTAAAAAAATTAAAAATGGCTTCAACTCATCAATACTACTAGAAAAAACAGTTTCAATACTATGGTAAAGATCTTCGAGAGCAATATCAATCACTGAATTTCTACCGTTGAATTATGTAGCTAGCTCAAAGTATACAAAAAACCATTAACGTATCTATAGTAGTTTATACTGCAAGAACTCGTCTATATTGAACTTGTACAGTGTCGTTCAGCATGAGATTTTATGATATAATATAGTACAATTCCAGAAGAACACTATCAGTTCTTTGCTACAACTTCATGCAAGAGATCCTTTGTATAGATGAAAATGGATTAATCAGCTCCACCTAATCTTCTCCGACAGCAAGTTCATGTTCTCGGACCAACCAACCATTGCTAAGATTATGCAATGGCAACAAGATTTTCCACCACCACAAGAGCTGTGCAGGAAAAGCTGTAAACAAGTAGTAACACTAGCTGAAGGCCACCCAATGCAATTCCCCAAAGTTCAGAAGATGGATCACAGAGAGAAAGAGAGAGAACTGTAAACATAAGAGGAAAATAGTAAAAATAAAGACCATTACAATTCACTAATATAATAATGAGGCAAAGTAAAACATTTACATGCTGGATCTTGACAATGAGTGATGATCAAGTTGCAGTTAAAAAACAATCAAATAAAGGGGAGAGTGAACAACTTTACCCTGGACAAGAAACTGCCAATTAGTTGAACTCCGGACAAGAATCTCCCAATTGGTTGATAAAGCTCCTTGTAGATACCGGTCAACAATTTGCAAGAGTTGAACAAGCTCAAAAGGCACTCCATTCTCTCGCATCCATCCCAAAACACTACATAGTAAACAAGAGGTAAAGGAATGCAAAAGCACAATTTAGGCCTTAAGGGAATGAGGAGAAACAAATAATTAATAGAGCAACAGACCTTATCACAGGAGAAAATGCTGGTACTATCTAGTCAGCATGACGGCGTATGTGGATCAATTTGTTAATAAAGTCCCGTTCCCTGTGATATCTGTTGGTACATAAAACCAGTCATAATACATAGTACTTGTATAATTAATACTCCGTATTAACTAGAATTTAACACTAAACAACTTGTTTGGAGGAAGTGAATCCATGTTTGAGCAATATCATAAACCAGTAAATATTACCCTGCCACTAAATTCAATTCAGGAAAACACAATATACCAATAAAACTACATCATTTAAGAAAACCCAATAGGATGACTTTGCAGCAGCTGATACCATATTACTCAGGTTGGGAGGGAGCAAGGGGCACAAAATTCAATGCAAAATCTTGGGAACAACAAATAGTGGAAGAGGATTTCTTGTCTTCTAAAATCATACAACATACTTAAATTGAGGAAAAAGGGGTCTATCAATTGTGAAAATAACTAAGGGAAGTAAAGTATTGTGTAAATTAATCACGGAGGAATGGACCAATCTCTAATAGGGTGAATAGGGATAAACTAATAATTTACTTCCAGATAGATAACATAAGTTCCTTCACCATGTCCTAAAAATCCATCATTACCTCCTCATTACCCCCATCATTATAGCCCTCGAATTAATCCTATTCAGCTCGTAATTTATTCTTCCAATTCAAAACATGTTTTAGGTGTTTGTGTGTGTGTGGTGTTTTTTTTTTTTTTTTTTAAAGGGGGGTGTTGAAGGTCAGAACCCTTGGAAAGAAAGAAGATATGAGACTTACATGACAAAAGCTGAAACACAGAAACAAGTTAGCCCGACAGAAAAGTGGCGCAAAAATGTAGTCAAGAAGTTATCCCTGTCCAGAAATATCTTCTCAGATAACAGAGTAACCGCTGAAGATAATAGAAGCACTATCCAACCAGAAGGCAAACAGCTACGAAATGAAAATGACGATGAGCCCTGTGTACAGGACAGAGGTTAATAGTACAAGAAGACATATCTCCAATATTGGACTTGCCACACATCTACATCACAAAATATTTGGCAAGGATTGGAGTCAAAATACAGGACAAACCTGGAAGTACTGCTTGATAAATACAGCAGAATATGCTATCCGCAGTGCCATATCTTCATTACAGTCAAGGCAACAACAGGGAATATAGAAATGAGGACAATAATAGCCATTACTACCTAGAGAGAAGCTTTTCTACAAAAAAAGGTTGATTTGTCTAAATCCTGATTCCACAGCCACAAGGCATGAAAGTACAATAATAGTACATGAATTTGATGACAGAACCTGAGACGGACTCTTTCATAAATAGGGATGTTTTGGTGTGGGTGTGGGTGTAGGGAGGGGGAGGGGGAGCAGGGGTGCAATTATTTGTTATGATTTTCTTATTAGTCATGTGCATGCATGTATAGGGCCGAATTAGCATGGTGGTTGAACTATTTAGGGATATCTTACATACATGAAGACGTCCCTATAAGACCCTGTCTCAGCGGGATAAATATAGCTGTATCAGAGGGAAAAGAAAAATCCATTACAAGGAATATGGCAGAAAAAAGTGACAACAGATAAGGATACTTGTGGCATTTGCAAAGATTAAGCCAAGTGCACCAGCTGATCGTACTAGCAAGATATTCAGAATAACATAGATCAGTGAGAACACAACCAGTGACTTGTTAGAGCGCTTCAGTTGGTTCTCATCAGCAACAGCATGCAGAAAAGCTTCTGATGTTCCTGATACAGAGAAAACATTGAACAATCAAATCACAATCAAAAGAATATATATTGCTCATATTCTAACTTTCAGTGGATATAGTCAAAACTACATGGTTAGAATATATCACAAACCATTCATTGCCAGAACTATAATGTACAAGCAGTAGTATCTGAGAGCAGTTGAAGCTTCTCCGTCGCTCCATTTTTGTCCATACAACAATCTCAAGAGAGAATAAGAGTAGCTTGGTCCAAAAGCCATAAAAATAAGACCTGCGATAATAATTAAAACAGACAGTTTCAAATGTACCGGATAGACAATCATAAGGCTATAATTTAGTTTAATACTTCTGATTCTCAATAGAGAATAACACCTGCAATGACAAAGAATAATTAAAGAGGACAATAGGTCCCTGTCCAAAACTCATAGATAAAAGTCACAATATTGAGGGAAGAATACTAGCTGATTTAGATAAAGAAATTAACTCAAACATGCAATTTTTTACAAAAAGAAGAACGCGGTGAGCAGTGGTGGATCCAGAAAAAATATTTAACTGGGTCAAAATACATTAGATAAATTTTAATGGGGTCAAGTGCGTATATTTAATGGCAAAAAAATTTAATTTTATAGGAAAAAAAATAATTTTATAGAAAAAAATTTCATTTATTCATGTTAAGTGGGGTCAATGGATCCCACTTGAGTGTATGTGCCTCCGCCCCTGGCGGAGGGGCAGACTAAATTAGCACTATTAAAGAAGTACTCCATTAGTTGCACATGTTTGCAGAACTTAGATGCCAGAACAGCTAGACATAGCATACCATGATACCAAGCATGCAGAAACATGACTAGCACTGAACAGAGTGAACACTACACCGACACATCTCATGTTTACAAATGCAGAGATTTAACAACAGCCAAGTTTAAAAAAAAATATGGACTTCACAGTTGAAGCAGATATCCACTGAAGCTATTACATCACTTATTGTCAAGTACTGGCAAGAATTTCTTCAAGCATCAAACTAAATAAGTTGTTAATATTTAAAAGATTCTTCAGATTGAAGAAAATTACAAAAAAATTAATTATACAACTACTTAGGAAGACATACCAATAAGCATTACAAGCTTTAGGGCTTCCGTGAGGCGGCGTCCTAGATCCTTCCTTCTATCTTTAGAATCTTCTGCAGATTGATATGCAGCAATTTATAAAAACTATGAACAGGATTTTTGCCACAATGCAATGTAGCCTTCATATACTGTCGTGAATGAGAAGAAAAGGTTCAAATGGCAAACAAAAATATCAAATCACTTAGGTAAGAGTATTCCCTTAGAGCTCAGCCGCAACTCCTCTTGATCCCAATAGCAACAAGGATGGAGAGACAGATAGAGGAAAGCCAAGGGGATAACAAGTCTAACCTAGAATGACCATAACAAGAAGCGATCTCAATATGCATCAAATGCACTAGTCTTTGCTCCAATCTTTTTTACTTTGAATTGACATTTGCACAAAAAAAGAAAAAACAAAACTGACAAGTTTCCAATCGTTGAGTGACTACTCCACTAAGTCACTAACCTTTCAATTTATGCCTGTTACATTAAAGTTATTTTTCTTCAAGATTACTCATCTGTGGTGCCTAATTTTACCCCTAAATACCTTTGTTTTCAAAAGGAAAAAAAAGGGGGAAAGTGGTGAGAAAGAGGACAAAGGCTTTGACAAAGAGCATAAGATGGAGCAAAAGACTTTGGTGCCATTATCTATAGAGAAATTTCCAATAAGTTAGGAGTGAGGCTAATTTACAAATCATGAATGAGGTCATCAGGAAAAGACACATCTTATCAGATGTTACCAAGCCGTAATTCAAGCATAAGGCAAAAGTATATATTCAGGAACTTGATAGATGCTAAAACTACTTTTAAAGCATAATATAGTCTCAGATTTCACAAGGGTCACATTTTAGACTCTTAGAGTAACAATCTAAATATTTCCCCAAAGATAGGGCCCTGGAAGTAACATGGTAACACCCTCAAAATTTTCTGGGAGAAAGACAATTGCAGATATGAGCAATCCCTTCTAACCAGTGTTTGAAAAAGCATGCTTGAGGTGCTGTGACGCAAGGCCATATGGGTCTTACACTTTTTTTGGTCTAGATGAAGCAAATTTGAAGTGCACCTAGGTGCGATAAGGCACAGCCTTTTTTTCACAAAATTTTAAACATTTATTAACTGCACCTATGGTGTAGGGAAGTCCTGTAGGGAAATACCAATTACTTGATGCACCTTGAACCTTTTTATATATTGCTTCAAATAACATTATTATGCTAGTATGCTCATTATTAAATTTCCACTGTGAACAAAATTATAGAGCTTTGTATCAAAAGAGAATGAATAAACAAGATCGAGATGATGAGTAAAAGAACTTGACCTGAAGCAGACCTTGCAAATATGGCATATGAGCTTTCTTCAAAAGGAAGAAATACCATTCTCACCACCAAACTACCTGACACGTGAAATTAGTAGACAGAGTAAGCAACTAAGCCCTACAGTAAATTTTGTCAGTACATCACAATGTGTCTAGCTAGTTAATAGTTTAAAGCCAAATAAAAGATTGCCATTAGAGGAACAAGAGATTGAAAGATAAATCACCTAATTTATCAATTAGTCCATATACAGCTTGATTATATGGAGTGTCAAACCACACAAGTACCATCTTTTCTCCTTCTTGAAGAATCAGTTTTTGAACCGACTGAAGAGTAAACACTGTACACATCTTCAATAGCGGCTTGTCATAGCTCATCATAGCACCTATTCTGAGAAAAGAGGGATAAAGATGGCAATGAATGATAAGCAAATGTGAGATGGTAAAACCAGTTTTCACCCTGACACATGAAGGCAAAGAGTTTCTCAATGGACTTACAGTATTTTATAAAATCAGAAAGAAAAAAGGATCTTGTAGACAGCTTTTGTCGTGTAGACACCCAAAAACATTGGAATTTGCTAAAGTTACAGGTAAGCATATACACAATGATTCAACATTAAGATTCTCCAGTAGTCCCAGCAAATTATTGATCTAGTTGCATGCTAATTTAGTCATATTGTGGTGTGAAAAAAAATGTCCCATGATACTAACCAAATTGCATGCAAGCTAAACCTTAGGTCAAGATGAGCAGCCATACATTAGCTTACAATGGATAAATCACTAGTGCAGGTCTTCAAACTCAACAATGAAGCTCTTAGATGTAATATCATAGCTTGCATAGTTGCATATATAGAATAGTAAGTTTACCTGAAAGGAAACAGCTTTGAACCTTGCAATTTATGATAAAAGACAAAGTAGCCCCAATAACCTAGAAACACGCAACCCCCATATGAAACTTGTGATAAAGCAAACATAATTGCCTTTTCCTGCAAGGTACAACTGATTTTATTACAATACCAACAGAATCAAAACATATTTTTATCATGAAATACGTAACGATTAAAAAATATTCTAAATTAAATAAAACAAGATCACCCATGACATTAATTATGCTGGGGAATTCTTGACTTAGTTGTGACACTTAATTATTGCAAGGCTTCGCAGGTAAAATTGTCAAAAACAAAAAGAGGGCTCTAGTATTTAACAGTATCTCAAGCTTAGTCCAGTTCAATGGCTTACCATGCCACTGCTTCCAACTATAAGGGCATATGTTGTTATACACCGAGAAAGTGTTGCAGCACTTTCAACCAACATTCGCAATTTGAGACAAAACATATACTGAGCAAGAATGTAAAATGGTTCTGCTAAAAGCTCCAATAAGCACGCAAAGCCTGCAATGCCAAAAACAGCTGGGTTAAGGGAATTTAAAGCTCCATGGAAGAAGCAAAAGTTAAGTGGTTGGGTTTATAACTTCCACGATTAAAAATTTATCTTATAACAACCATCTTAATCGGCCATTAAAATAGTAATTGATTGGTGAGGAAAATACTTTGCATGTATGTCAATGGAAATCAGATAAAACTACAATTTAAATGCATTTCACAGAACTCAAAATTCCAATGTGATTCACCTCTAAAGAAGTTAATACATTGTGTAGTTGGGCTAGTTGAAACAAACATGGTCAACACAATCTGATAAGTGCACTTTTAGTATCACTTCTACACTCCCTCTACTGCACTCTCCATCTCCCAAATAGAGGGGAAAAAAAAAAGGAAACATAACTTAAAAAAAAGAAAAAAAAAACATAGACATCAGAGAAGCTTCAAGTGAGAAGTCACCAGAACATCTGAAAGCAGTTGTGAAATATTTCCTGTCCCTACAAGTATAAATGAAAGAAATTCCCCAAGTCCCAACTACTAGGAAATCCTGATAATTAGTCTTGACTGATTTATCTGAAAAATTGGAAAGGGTTTGGATAGGAGGAAAGTTGATTGGAAGTAAGAGAATCACATACATGAGAGAGAGAGAGAGAGAGAGAGAGAGAGAGAGAGAGAGAGAGAGAGAGAGAGAGAGAGAGAGAGAGAGTGGAAACAAACTCTAAAAACCTATTTAGGTAGGAAACACTACTAAATATAATCAGTAGATTACCATTCAATAATATAGCCTGCCCATAAGGGCTGGAATAGCTCAAATGTTGCCACCAGAAGACAAATGCACATGCTGTCACTGTAATTATTACTCCAAGTGGAAGAGACAGCCAGGCTACTTTCAATATCTTTGATGCATATTCACTCGCTGAAGCATCATCACTGCATCAAACATGTTAAACTTTCACTGGCTTTTACATCACTAAACTAATTAGATGCATAAAGGCAAGTGGCAACTAGAAAATGTGCTATCTCCTCCATAAACCCTATACACTAGTTCCAAGAACAAAGAAATAGAATTTTTGGTGATTCTTTGGATAGTCAACATCCTTCACTTCCATTATAAGTTTTAGAAATTAATCTACAAAAATATATAGAGCAAGCACTCAAAATTTCAATGCAAGGACACAAACCTTTTCATATAGAGAGCACAAAATCAGCATTATCATAAAAAAAATGATCCATAATTTACAAAAGTCATACTAGAATCACTAAGGGTGCATTCAATTCACCTAATTTCATTACCTAAACTAATCTATATATAGCTAAACTTATCAAAATATATTTTAGTTACAAATGGAACTTAAATAACCCTTATTACATCTTATTTAGACTTAGTTTTCCTGGATGTATCTTCTTTAAGCTTACTAACCTATGCATGAACTTGAATATATTTTACTTTAAATAATTGAAAATTAGGTGAACACAAAAACGCCTTAATAGAATTGTAAAAATGGAAGAGTGCAAGAGAAACACCTCTTAATTTCTGCCCGCATACATGCTCGCCTGAATCCTTCTCGACTGACAAACAGTATGCAAGTAACAAACAGATGAAATTGCACTGCATAAAGCTGCATTTTACATGAAAATAACAATATATGATCTGAAGAGTATTTCCAGTACAAAAATCCTAGTACAAGGACAGGAAGATCATAAAGACACAAACTCTAAACTACCAGGGACAATAATAATCAACATATGCGCAATATTTTGCCAATCGGAAAATATTTCACTAAATATTTTAGTAACCATGTTGGTAGCAAACATCTCAAAATTAAGATTATAACATGGTTTCACTAAGTCCTTTTAAAAAAATAGCCTTCTTTATGTTGGATTAATGTAACACTCTCAACTTCATTCAATTAGGAAAAGAGAATTCTTCCCATAAATTCTAGCCTAGTATGATTAATAATTAAGGGGCAATAAAAAAGATTCGAAATCGAAATAAAAAATTAGCATCAACCGCAGGTGCCAACTAGCGTAGTTGATTAAAGTCTAGGAGGTTGGTACCCAAGACCTCAAATCAAATACCGTCTACACCATTGCCTTTTACTACTCTTCATACACAACAATAAAAACAAATCAAAATCTATCTCTGGATTTGATTGTACTCACTCTCTCCTAAAGGCAGCAATACACAACCCAGTAAAAAAAAAAATTATATATTTTACTCCAGCAAAATCAGAATCAATCAATTGAAAAATTAAGAAATGCAGCTAAATTTATTGCTCAGAAAATCATCAAAATATGCAGGAAACAAATTAATATAGTATTAAAAAGAGAATTGACTTATTCTTACAGCATAATCGGTTGCAGTAAGGTGCCGAATTATCCAGGTATTGAAGATAAAAGGTATGCCCCTTGACAAAAATTGCGTCGCTGAAGAGAGAAAGCAAAAGGGTAACTAAAATTGCATTTAAAATTGAGATCAAAGTAGTAATTGAGATGAATTTCGAAAAGTTAACTAACCCATGAGATACTTGAATGTGCGGGAAAAATTGGCTGCGTCGCCATTGTTGATCTGAGGTTGTACCATTGTGAATTGTGATCGATTACAGATTTACAGAAAAAATGTTGAAGACAATAGTTAAAGGGAAAGAGAGCCCGAGTGTTGGGAGAACAAGTGAGTCAAAAGCCCAAAGCCCAACAACGGGCGAGGGGGAACGAGATGCTTGAAGCCTACTCGGTTTTGATATGCCTGGAATTCCAGAAATTAAAAAGGGGGTAATATCTAATGGGGTAGATTCTACTTGAGTATTGATTTAGAGAGTGATAATTCATTTTCAATGGTTTGGCAGGTAGTATCATGGAGTTGCCGATTTTAACTTGGTGCAAATGTGCAATTATGTGTGAGGGGGTAGTAGGGAAATCTCTAGCCGTATTGGCTTGTGTCTATATTAAACGCATGTAAGACCGTGTGAATTATAATTGAATTTTGTTATATGATGATTTAGTATTTAGATGCCTAGATGGTTATTGACAAAGGAGTCTGTTGAACTCTTACTAATCATCAATGCATTTAACGACAAGTGGTCTACACTATGGCAAGTTCAATAAATGGAGTAGTTCTACCAGTGGCAAATTGAACCGCTAACGTAGGTTATTTAGTTGTATATGCATTGAATAAATGAATATCACCTATTAGTTACTGTAGTATTTCTATCCTAACTTATACTCCGTATATTCCAAATGACATATTAAGAATTATTCTCATGAGAAAAAAATTCTACTGATTTTTGTAAAAATCTTTTAACAAATTGGTAATAAAAATGTCCATTGAGTACTTACTACTCGGGACCATAAAGGGATTGCGATTGTATAAAGCAAATTGCACATCAATAAAATCATTATTTCTTTTTTTTGGTGTTCCACCCGGTTCACTCTTAAGGCTAATCCGGATTCAGGATCAGTTATGGGTGGTTAGGTTCCACTCCCCTCCTGATTGTTATTATGGGGGATCAAACACGAGTCTTTCATACCAAGTGTAGTATCAATCATCATTAAACCAATATCCAATCAGTCAATAAAATAATTATTAATTGACTAAACTTAACCTCTTGTGTGAAGGCGTCTAGCTCGCTCTAGTGCTCCACAGTCCGCACACCTGGGACCAAATTAGAAAAAGTGAAATATACAGCCGTTGACAATAACTGCGCACAGAAAGAAGCATTAGAAAGGGAGCCAAATAAACCCAGATTTTTTGTTCTGGCTTCCCGCTACCAATTAAAATTTTCATCTTTAACAAATTCATTTTTTTCTGGGCATTTTTCACTTTCTATTGAATTATTGAAATCGAAAAATGTCAGCATTATTTCTGGGCTCAGTTCGTCCAGTACCCTATAGTTTAACCAATTTTGCAAATCAAAGATTCAAACTTTCTTTCTCAGGATTCCCAGTTTCAGTCCCCAGAAATGGGTTATCTTTCCATCATCTCTTTAAACGAAGTTTTCAAGCTTCTATTCATTCTGGTATGTCTTAAAATACCCCCCCTCTTTTTTAATTTTTCGTTTTTGTATGTTCTGTAATTTTCATTTTTTTTCCTTTTAGTTGTTTTATTTAGCAATAATGTACTTAGTTTATGTCCATGTTTATGAGTAATACTAGCAATATAGTGTTAGGAATTTTGCCGTATCAATTAGATAGGCGAATCGAGCAGCAGATTAGATAGCAAATGTTGGGCCAATTGGTTACCATGTACATTGTTTATTGATTATTTGATTGATATAGTGGCTTAAAAGTTAAAAGTATGTCCTTTACTTGTATGTGATATGTGATTATTGACTGATGTGATTGTCTTGTTTATATAGGGTACGGAACGAAAATTAATGCCAGTGCACTAAATTTTGTGCTTCTGAGGATGATGATCCTGAAAATTGATCTATGTTAATTGAAAACATAATCATGAGTACTTCTAAAAGGGGGTGGGGTGAGGTTTTTGGATTCGTGTCAAGTAAAAAGTATTTAGAGTTTCATAGATATTGACCTGGTTTGGTGTTAGACTCTTCACATAGTGTTCAACTTTTTAAGGTTTTCATGACGAGTAATAAGGAGTTTGATGAGTGAGTAGTTTGCCTGTATGATGAATAAGAAATTTGTAGCTTGAAGGCTTGTGAGTCACAACTACTTTTCTTGTTCAGTATGGATAGTGGATTAATCTTGAAAGTGTCGAGGGATGATTGGGTTAGTCACATCAAGTGAGAGATTAGAAGCGAAGCAAAAGAGTTACCAATGGATTATAATATCAGGAAGTTTTTGATATTCATACCTCTAAAAAAAAAGTCTTTCAAATGTGTTTGTGATGTTGGTGCTTTTTTTATAACGACTTAACAAGTGTTCTACTGCTCTTACTTCTATCTTTCGTTATTCTGAAATTTCATGCTTAACAGTCTGTTTTGTTTTATGTATGCTTGTTTGGATGAATCAGTCAATTTTATTTTGAACTTATAATTATTAGAAGTGAAAATAAGTTAGACATTTGCTAATAGACATAATAGAATCTGTTGAAGGTTGTTTGGTAAATGCTAATATGAGTTATTTCTTCAGTTCCTTTAGAATCTACAAGCAACAGTCTTGTAACCCCCCCAGGAGAACAGTCTGAGATAATATTTGTGGGAACAGGAACAAGTGAGGGCATCCCACGTGTTAGCTGCTTGACTGATCCTTTCAAAAACTGTCCGGTATGAACATCTCTCTAGAATGCCATGATTCGAAATGTTCCATCATTATGCTATTGATCTAAGAAGAGTGAAATTCATGTCCTCCATATTACTTTACTAGGTATGCAAGAAAGCAGCAGATCCAAATAGTAAAAATAGGAGACTCAATACAAGCATCTTGATCCGTTACAATGGAGCTTCTGGGATGCGCAATATTCTTATAGATGCTGGAAAGTAAGTTTGCTTCTTCCTAATTTTTAATTTCCGGATTTTTATTGAATTGTCAATCATAGGAGAAATCTTAGCAGTATTTTGAAGCCCCAGACTCCCAGAGGATAGGACTGGATGGTTATAAGGATGTTAAGAACATTGTATGACAACAATACAACATAGTGGGGTGCTGGGGAGTGAAGGAGACTAATTTGCATGTAGGCTTTGAATTTCCTATACAGTAGGATCAAGTATCTCAATTTAGTTGTTTCTTAGCACTTCAATAGAACATGGAGCACAAAATGTAGGCCAAAAAGCGGAGGCAACTAGTACCTGTCAGCCTGGGTGATTTCTTTGCTTTCTCGTTTTCTGTTAAATGTGTTAGTGAACCAACTTCTGGCTACAACATGCTGCGTCCGTAGTGTAAGAGCTGCACCTTACAGGTCATAATGCTGTTTTTTATTGACCAGGAAAACTTTTATTTAGCTTTCGAATTTGCATTTTCAGCAATATGATCTTGTGTTGCCAATAGTGTTTAATTTTCTGTTTTAGATTATATATTACAGTGTAGCTGCTTCTCTTAAATGCCATTCAACAATTTATTTCTTAGGCCCTATTATATTCACCTTGTTTTCACTTATTTCAAGTCTCATTAGTTCAAATATGATAACTAGATAAGTTCAAGAAATATAAGTCTTGATAAAGAGTTGATAAGGGTTACCCAAGCTCAAATTACAACTAAAATAAGCTTTAATAAGTTCATATAAGTGAAAGATAGGTGAATATAACACATCCTTACTCTTGCTACATTTACACAAGTATTTTGCACATAGCCACATTGGTGACTCTGGATCATGGTGCTTGATGTGCCTATGAGTTTGTCATTTGAGGCACTTCATCAGTGACAGACCAACGATATTTATATTTCTCTTTTTGTGGTTCAAATGTTTCATTCATGTTTCTGTGGAATAATCTGATACATAAATTTTCTGGATTTTGAACCTAGGAAGTCATTTATTGTTGTTCTGTAATTTCTAGAATTCCCTTTGAGCTGGGAAAGGACCTTTTGCTTTCAGGGACATTATAACCAAACTGATTTTGATGTCAGTTACTTTTAGAGATAATTGATATAATAATAAATGACCACAATATCCAAAAGACTTAAAATGAAGAGCAAGTATATCATTCATCATTTTTTCCATGTAGTTTTACTATATTCATTGAAGAGCTTCTTGAATTTTATGCAGGTTTTTCTACCATAGTGCTCTCCGTTGGTTTCCTACCTATGGGTAAGCAATGCTGCAGTAGCTTCACTACATATTGATCAATGCTTGAAGCAACCTCATTTCTAAATATTTCTGAAGGTTCTAATGTATGTCATTTTTACTTTTTCTGAAAGTGTTTACTTTTTCTAGAAGAAGGCTTCATAGAGAAAAGGTTGACATTGTAAGTAGAGCTGTCAAAAGTTGACCCGACCCGAAATACCGACTCAAACCCGATTATTAACCGACCCATCTGAACCCGAAAAAATGGTGACCCAACCCCGGCCTGAAACCAACCCTAAACCCGAGTTGACCCGAGTATGTGAGATCTGAAGCCGAACAAGAACTGACATGGAGATGATCCGACCCAAATGTAACCCGTAAATTATTGACCTGAACCAAACCCGACTTGAACCGAAATTGACCCAAACCCATTTTAACCCGTCAAAACCCGAATTTAACCCGACTTGTTACCAACCTGATGTGAATTCAACCCGACCCGTTCCTAACCCGACCCGAATTTAACCCAACTTGTTACAAACCCAACCAGAAATCAACCCGATTTGTTATTGACCTGACCCAAATTCAACCCGACTTGTTATTGACCCGACCCAAATTTTACCGGACCTATTACTAACCCGGCCCAAAAATTCAACTCGATCTATTACTAACTCGACTCGAAATCAACACAACTTGTTATTGACCCGACCTAAATTCAACCCAAATTGTTCAAGACTCGATTTCAAATCACCTTAAATGCAGTTTAGACCACTTTATTATTGTTGATCAAAGCATTTCGTCTGGGGAGACCAAGTCGGTCCAGGCAGCAAAAGAAAGGAGCGTCATCCTCAAATTTAAAAGTTAAATGTAGTATATATTTGTTGTATAGTCAAAGGAGATAATTATCTTCCTAAATGATAAATTAGTTCCCTAGTATATTGCCATTTATATTATAGTCAAAGGAAATAATTAGCTTGATAAAAATGATAATTATCTATTTATATTTAGTTGAACCCGAATATGACATGACTTGGAAATAGCCCTACCTGATTGTAACCTGCAAATTATAGACTTGAACATAACCCGACTTGAATTCGAGAATGACCCGACTTGGAAATGACCCAACCTAATTTTAACCCGCAAATTATTGACTTGAACCGAATCTGACTTGAACCCGAGAATGACCCAACTTGAAAATGACACGACCTAATTATAACCCGCAAATTATTGACTTGAACCGAACCCGACTCAAACCCGAGAATGGCCCGACTTGATTCTAACCCACAAATTATTGACTTGAACCGAGCCTGACTCGAACTTGAAAATTACCCTAACCTGTTCTAACCCGTGAAAACCCGAATTAAACCCGACGTATTGTTCACCCGGCCCGAATGTAACCCGACTTATTATTAACCCGACCCAAACTCGATAAGAAGTATGACCCGACGTGACCCGACTCAAGCATGACCCAACCCAAACACGACCCACATAGATTATGGAATTAATCCAAATTGACCCGATCCGAGTTGACCCGACCCACTCTTACCGACCCACTCTTACCGACCCACTCTTACCGACCCAAACCCGGCCCGTTTACCCGAATTGACATCTCTACCTGAAACCTCCAAAATTTCTCAAAAAGCGTGGATATTAGCCTTCAATTTTAGAATTTTTTTGACTTTTTTTCACCCGAAAATAAAAATTGCCGAAATGTTTATCATGGTCCCTAATACCCTCTGGAAGTCCAATTGGCTGGGTGGAACCATCCAATTTTCTTGTAAACGACCAATTTACCGGTTTACTACTTGCACCGATTTCATTAACTCAAGCTTACCACGAACATTTATGACAACATATAATGATCATATATGGATCCAAACGACATTATATGACCACGAGATGTATCCCCTAAAATCTCAATGTTTTTCGACATCGGGCTCCGAAACATTCAAAATTTCTCAAAAAACGTGGATGTTAGCCTTCAATTTTGGAATTTTTTGAATTTTTTTCGCCTGGATTTAAAAATTCCCGAAATGTTTACCATGGTCCTAAATACCCTCGAGAGTCCAATTGGGTGGATGGAACCATCCAATTTGCCTTTGAACTACCAATTTATCGGTTTACAACTTACACTGATTTCATTAATTAAACCCTACCACGAACATTTATGACAACAAATAATGATCATATATGGTTCCAATGACATTATATGACCCCAAGATGTATTCCCTAGAATTTCAAGACTTTTCGACATCGGGCCCGAATACTCCTAAAATTCTCAAAAAGCATGGATAATAGACTTTAATTTTGGAATTTTTTTTAACTTTTTTCGCCCAGAAATAAAAATTGCCGAAATGTTTACCATGGTCTCTAATACCCTCTGGGAGTCCAATTGGGTGGGTGGAACCAACCAATTTGCCTTTAAACGGCCAATTTACTGGTTTATAACTTGCACGAGTTTCATTAACTCAAACCTACCACAAACATTTATGACAACATATAATGATCAATTATAGTTCCAAACGACATCATATGACCCCGAGATGTATCCCTTAAAATCTCATTTCATTTCGACACCAGCCCGAAACCTTCGGAATTTCTCAAAAAACATGGTTATTAGCCTTCAATTTTGAAATTTTTGTCTTTTTTTTCGCCCGTAAATAAAAATTGCCGAATTGTTTACCATGGTCCCTAATACCCTCTGGGAGTCCAATTGGTTGGGTGGAAACATCCAATTTGACTTTAAGCGGCTAATTTACCGATTTACAGCTTGCACTGATTTCATTAATTCAAGCCTACCACTAACATTTATGACAACATATAATGATCATATATGGTCCCAAACGACATTATATGACTGCGAGATGTATCCCCTAAAATCTCAAGCCTTTTCGACACCGGCCCCGAAACCTCTAAAATTTCTAAAAAATCGTGGATATCAACCTTCAATTTGGAATTTTTTTACTTTTTTTCGCCCAGAAATAAAAATTGCCGAAATGTCTACCATGGTTCCTAATAACCTTTGGGAGTCCAATTGGGTGGGTGGAAACATTTAATTTGCCTTTAAACGACCAATTTACCCATTTACAATTTGCACCGATTTCATTAATTCAAGCCTACCACGAACATTTATGACAATATAAAATGATCATATATGGTACCAAATGACATTATATGTCCCCGAGATGTATCTCCTAAAATCTCAACCTTTTCAACACCTTGCCCCAAAACCTCCAAAATTTCTCAAAATGCGTGGATATTAGCATTCAATTTTGGAATTTTTTGACTTTTTTTTTCGGCCGAAAATAAAAATTGCCAAAATGTTTACTATGATTCATAATACCCTCATGGAGTCCAATTGGGTAAGTGGAACTATCCAATTTGCCTTTAAACGACCAATTTACCGGTTTACAACTTGCATCGATTTCATTAATTCAATCTTACCACGAACATTTATGAAAACATATAATAATCATATATGGTTGCAAACGGCATTATATGACCCCAAGATGTATACCCTGGAATTTCAAGACTTTTAGACACCGAGTTTGAAACCTTTAAACTTTTGCAAAATGCGTGGATAATTAGTTTCCAATTTTAGAATTTTCTGACTTTTTTCGCTCGGAAATAAAAATTGCCAAAATATTTACCATTGTTCCTAATACCCTCCGTGAGTCCAATTGGTTAGGTGGAACCATCCAATTTGCCTTTAAACTACCAATTTACCGGTTTACAACTTGCATCGATTTCATTAACTCAAGCCTACCACGAACATTTATGACAACATATAATGATTATATGTAGTTCCCAACGACATTATATGACCTCGAGATATATCCCCTAAAATCTAAAGGCCTCGAAACCTCCAAAATTTCTAAAAAGGCGTGGATATTAGCCTTAAATTTTGGAATTTTTTGACTTTTTTCGCTTATAAATAAAAATTGCCGAAATGTTTACCATGGTCCCTAATACAATCTGGGAGTTCAATTAGGTGGGTGGAACCATCCAATTTGTCTTTAAATGGCGATTTTACCGGTTTATAGCATGCACCGATTTTATTAACTCATTTGTGGTTTAAAACAGTATTATATGACCCCGAGATGTATCCCCTAAAATCTCAAAACTTTTCGACACCAGGCCCCGAATTCTAAAAAAATTCTCCAAACGCGTGGATATTATCCTTTAATTTTTTGGAATTTTTTAACTTTTTTTCGCCCGAAATAAAAATTGCCGAAATGTTTATCATGGTCCCTAATACCCTCCAGTATTCCAATTGGGTGGTTGGAATTTTATAACTTTTTTTTCGCCCGAAATAAAAATTGCCGAAATGTTTACCATAGTTCCTAATACCTTCCGGGGGTCCAATTGGGTTGGTGAAACCATCCAATTTGTCTTTAAACGGCCAATTTAATTACCGGTTTATAACTTGCACGAATTCCATTAAGTCAAGCCTACTACGAATATTTATGACAACATATAATGATCCATATATGGTTTCAAACGACATTTTATGACCCCAAGATGTAACCCTAAAATATTAATACTTTTCTACACCGGGCCCCGAAACCTGCAAAATTTCTCAAAAAGCGTGGATATTCGCCTTGAAATTTTTTGATTTTTTTCGCCCGAAAATAAAAAATGCCGAAATGTTTACCATGGTCCCTAATACCTTCTAGGAGTCCAATTGGGTGGGTGGAACCTTCCAATTTGCATTTAAACGACCAATTTACCGGCTTACAACTTGCACCGATTTCATTAATTCAAGCCTACCACGAACATTTATGACAATAAATAATGATTATATATGGTTCCAAACGGTATTAAATGAACCCGAGATGTATCCCATAGAATTTCAAGACTTTTCGACACCGATTCTCAAAACCTCCAAAGTTTCTCAAAAAACGTGGATATTAGGGTTCAATTTTGAAATTTTTTTATTTTTTTTCGCCCAGAAAAAAAATTGCCGAAATGTTTATCATGCTCTTTATTATCCTCCGGGAGTCCAATTGGGTGTGTGGAAGCATTCAATTTTCTTTTAAACGGCCAATTTACCGATTTACAACTTGTACCGATTTATTGGTTTAAAACGGCCAATTTAATTAACTTGCACCGAACCCGACTTGAACTAAAATTGTCCCAACCCTGTTTTAACCCTTCAAAACCCGAATTTAACCTGACTTGATCGACCCGTTCCTAACCCGACCCGGATTTAACCCAACCTGTTACAAACCCGACCTGAAATCAACCCGACTTGTTATTGACTTGAACTGAACCCGGATGAACCCGAGAATGACCTGACTTGAAAATGACCCAACCTGATTATAACCCGACCTAAACCCAACCCAAACCCGATAAGAAGTATGACCCGACGTGACCCAACTCAAGCATGACCCAACCCAAACCCGACCCGCATAGGTTATGGAATTAATCTGAATTGACCCGACCCGAGTTGACTCGACCCACTCTTACTCGACCCAAACCCGACCCGTTTACCCTAATTGACAGCTCTAATTGTAAGGGTCACTTTGATATTGAAAAATTTGATACTTTTGAGCAAGTTTATGCATCAAATTGTCTTAGACTCTTAGGATCTTTATAGTTGTGTTTTAGTCTTGACCTGCAAATAAATTTCAGTTATGCCACATTTCTGATGAGGAATATGGGAGATATAGTTCAGACACATCTTTAAAAGAGATATGAATATGTGTTTATTGTAGTCACTTTAATCCACATTACAATTTAATCTATCAAAGAATAAGATATGAGGGCTATGTTACTTGGGTACTCTATTTCACCTCGAGTACTTGTGTGTGCTGAATACTTCGATATCTCAACATGGATGTTGACAGTTCTCAACATGGATGTTGACAGTTGATACTTCATTATGGTCCAATATCATGCCAAATTTTCATAGAATTGTTGACTGACACATGGAGGCTTTTTGTAACTAGGCAACATAAGGGAAAGGAGGCTGGGAAAATTTATAACTTACACATGAGGTATTATTAGAGAAGGGCAGGAGTTTTCTTTATTCACTTTTCTTTTTCTAGGTATCTAACTCATTATATCTGATATGAAGTTATCTTTATTAAGATGTATACTGCCTCATTAGCGTTGGACTTGGCACACTATGACCCAATTTACAATGTACTCCTCTATCTGTAAACATTGTCACGTTATCCCAACCCTTCATAAGGGCATGGTATATTGGTATGCCTACCCTTTAAAGACCCTTTATGACGGTTGTATCATTACCTTACTCTCCTTAGTGGTTATCACTTATTTTAATTTGGCTCATTCTGAGAAATCCAGTAATAAACCCATACTCTGTTGATTTAAAAAAAAAAAAAAAAAAATATATGCACACACTTCAAAATGCAACAAGTCTAGTGCATATGATGCATCTTCTTCTTCTTCATCTTCACCCCCCCCCCTCCTTGAGGGTATGATGCACTTGCATACATTACTACAATAGGATTTTAAAATTTAAAGTTTGTCTTCTTTTTGAGGGGTGGAAGGAAATTGTAAAATTACCGTGATTTTGCTCATGTGATTTTCCATAGAGTTGTTGTTTCCACAGAAGTTATGTTGCTTTATCTACCTTCAGTAGAGATAATTGTCGAATGTAAGCAAATCATGAATATTTGGTAATGGGTTTCTTAGTCATGTATCTGCCAGTGTCAATTTTGCCCTTTCATGACTAGTTGCATTTCTGCCAGGATAAGAACACTTGATGCGGTTATTATTACTCATTCTCATGCTGATGCTATTGGAGGTCTCTGACATGAACACTTTTAATATTTAATTTTCACTTGACTCCCCTGATAGTTATTATCTTTCAGCTCACCCGCCCAAGCCTTCTTTTTTTTCTCTTTTGGTTTAGGTCTTGATGATCTTCGCGACTGGACAAATAATGTTCAGCCCCACATTCCAATATATGTCGCAAGGCGTGATTTTGAGGTGTATACCCACATTTGTTTTCTTACATTAGTGTTTGTGCTTTATAAATATAAATGCTCTTGCATGAAAATATGTGTACTTAAGCTAAACTTGAAATGATATAAGTTAAACTTGAGGTTTTAAGTTCTTTCTGTTAGATAATCTAAATTTAATCTTCCTTGAACTGTTGTGTAACACTACTTATGCATATGATGCCGTTGTTTTATCTATATGGTGATGGATTGCTTTACTCGTGTGTGATAATCTGCTCAATTTTTAATACTTTCCAACTTCAGCTTTATTGAACATCCTTCAGGGAAAAGGGGGAAAAGAGGACAAAGACATTTGGTTTCAATGTTTCAAAAAAAAATAAAAAAATAAAACCTTTGTGCTGAAGTAATGCTGTTATTCAAACTCACAACTTTATTGACAAAAGACACCAGTTGCTGGCTTAAATCTATAGGCTTCTCTAACAAAAATGTGATATTAAAATGCTTAGGAATTCATTTAGCTTAATTTACCTAGCAAGTTAAAAACTTGGTTGTCTGGGTTTCATAGGTCTTGATGCATCTTATATTCTTATCTCCTCGTCATTCGTTTTCATCCTTTGTCTATGTTATGTTCATTGATTGACAAGATCAAGTGGCATGCTTAGAGGAGGTGCCTTTTACCAATTCAGATTGTAAATTTGTGACCCTTGATAATATTATATGTGGCTCCTTCTTGCACTAAAATGTGCCATCATATATGTATTGAGAATTTGAGATGACTATAGCAATTAAATTAATTCAGGTGATGAAAAAAACCCATTATTATCTGGTTGATACTAGTGTGGTTTTAGAAGGTGCTGCTGTCTCTGAGTTGCAGTTCCATATCATTCAGGAGGAGCCGTTTATTGTGAATGATCTGAAGGTCTGTGTGGTGCTTTTGCCTCTTTCATGTTCTTCATGTCATGTTCTGTGGAAAAACAACTGCATGCTTTCTCCTCTTTCATGTTCTTCATGTCATGGCCAAGTATTTTATTATGGTTTCAGATTACTCCGTTGCCTGTGTGGCATGGTGAAGGCTATCGTTCTCTTGGTTTTCGTTTTGGCAACATTTGCTACATAAGGTAATTTGTTCAAATGGTTATGTTTAAGATCCTGACTGTCACCTTACAACATTATGTAGTATTCTGTAGATGTTCACCTATATTCCAATGGACTTTTGTAATTGATTGCAGTGACGTCAGTGATATTCCAGATGAAACTTATCCGCTCTTGGAGGATTGTGATCTCCTAATCATGGTACGACCTCCTCTCCCCCCCTCTTTCTCCTTATATTTTTGTTTTTTGTTTGGTTGCTTCTTACTTGCATGGTTCCTTTCTATCTACAATTTACTCTATTTTTGTTTGGCTCTTAATATGCTTTGCTAATCCAACTTAGGATGCTTTGAAACCTGAACGATCTACTCCAACCCATTTCGGACTGCCAAGGGTAGGCTCTAGTTCTACTTTTCATTCCATTCTGTTTTGCCCCAGATTGTTTGATTTTCGATTCTGCATATTCTTCTTGCAGGCGTTGGATGAAGTTCGAAAAATCCAACCCAAGAGAACACTTTTCACTGGTATGTTTTGAGCTATTATGTACACACAGCTCAATTTTCAATGAAGACTTGTCTTCAATCCGATTGTTTTATCCCATTACTTAGTTTAACGTTTTCTCCATCTTCATTCATCGTTTCACTATCCAATCCTATCTGAGAGATTGGAAACTGTACTGTAATGAACTATAATCCTGATTTCTCCCTCAATTTTCTTTTCCTACTGATGTGAAGGCATGATGCACTTAATGGATCACGAAGAAATTAACGCACAGCTGTCTGGTTTGAAGGATACAGAAGGACTTGATGTGCAATTGAGCTATGATGGACTTCGCGTGCCTATAGATCTCTAGTCCCCCTTTCCCTGGCAAGTTTCCATCTCTCCAGATTATACTGCTGTGTTCACAATTATTTATCCAGCAAGATTGATACCTTCGGTTCAAATCAATGCAAATTGCATATGGGCTCCAGGTAAAGTGTGGTTGGTCAATTCAGCTGCGCAATGTGGCATAGGTTGCAAGACTTGCAACAGATTATATTGTACGATTTGTACCCTGAACCAGAAATATAATAAAAGACTGAGAACATTGTTCTCATTGTACTTCCCGGCTGTTTTTTGTTATAAATTTCACTGCTGACTGCCCAGTCGTGCACAGGGAAAGGGGGGCTGGAAAGCGGTATATGCAGAGTACACTTTGTGCTCTCTTTGGCCATATTCAATAGTTACATGTTACATAAGATGTATGGAAAGTTCAACTAAGGTACACTACTGAGATGATGCGACAATTATTTCTGGATAGAGTACATCCTGATAACTCATGTCAAACATGATGGATCATAGTATAAGGAATGCAATTATCATTCAGATTATTCTCATTTCATATAATTGTGGAAATTTTTCGCAGGAATTAAATCAGAAGAGTTGTTTTTCATCCCATTTTTTTGGTCATGTAAATTGCAAAAGCATGAAAGGTCATGATCAACGAAGAATATGGAATAATGGAGTTGACAATAAGTCTAATCTTGAGCTTTAAATAGCAAAAAATGGTAGTAGGTAGATGTTGAGGCTTCAGATGATGTTTGTCTTGTTTGGTGAAACTTGGTTGTAGTGTAACATCACATTCCTTCTAAATGACATTGATGGGTATTTCATAGACACGATAATCACCAACCATTTCCAAACCTAGCCAAATTAATTGACGCTTTGATTGTCAAACATGTCTACATAATTTGTTCGTGTTATATATATATTACTTCTGTTCTTGTTAGATTCATATATATTGCTTCTTCCGTTTCTTATTAGATTTTTTGTTTCTTTTTTATTACAATACGTACATACTAACTTTCAATATTAAAATCTATAAATACATTTTTAGTAAAAATCACTTCGTATTTCATCAAATAGTATTTTGAAACTATACAATAAGATTAACCCAACAACTACTAAAATATTGGATGAAATACGAGCATGTAAGAGAGATTATTCAAGAAAATGAGACTGCAATTTTTAACAACTCTGCTAGGGCCCAGGTTGGCCCAGTTAGTACAGGGATAGTAGGCCCAGCAACTACTACTGTCGTGCTGATAGTCCACACTCCACAAGGGCAAGGTAAAAGACCATTAGCTAGCTAGAAGACCCACTCTTCAAAAAAATAAGTGTTTTTTATTTTTATTTTTTTTTTATAATTTTTTTTAAGATTAAATAAAAAAAATTAAATTACCCTTCATTGAAGTTCCAAAAAAAAAAAAAAAAAAAAAAAATTCTAAAGGTTATACAAATTTGATTTATTTAGTGAGTTATCACAACACTGTTTAGTTTTATTAAAACTTTTTAACAATAACGCTGTTTAATTAGAATACATCATATTTTACTCCATAATTGTTGCCCCCAACTTCTTAATACACAAATTCACAAAATCATAACTTTCAATACATCAATGACCGATTATGTTATTTCGTAACCCACGGAAAGACGAAACAATAATGAGAACTAATTAAATACAATGGGTCATGAAAGAATGATCTTTGTGGGTCACTAATACCTCAATGATTTAAGAAAGAAGAGTAAAAGTGGGACACACAAACAAAAACAAAAAACACTAGTGAGTACCCTAAATTATACGAAACGTAAATGGCACACTCGTGAACTCATCTCATCATCTATCAGTGCTCTCTCATTCATGCGTTATTCTCATAGCCTTGTGTGTCACTGCCTATTTGCCCCATTTTTGGATTCTAAACATTGACATCCCTTGCATTGTCCCTTTCTAGCTTGTATTTCTGTCCTACGTTCCTTTTTTATTTGTTGTCTACTACGTAACATTCCTAAGCATAATTAATCAAACTATTATATGTCTTAATTAATTACCAAGCAAAGGTTAGTGGTAATAAAAGTTTCGCCTGATCTCATAATTAAAGGTTATGAAATTAAATCTTACATATGTTATATGTACATCATGTAAGTTCCACTTGTAATTATTAGTGTTGAATACACGGTAAACAAACAAAATTCTGACTTGTTACCCTGGTCTTATCACCCCGTATAAAACCATATATACGATGTAACTTTATGTATAAGTATTTATGTTGTAGCTATCTTAGCAATTGGATACATGTAAATTTGAATTTTGGTTAAAAAAAGAAAATACTACATTATTATAATTAAAGTGGGGGAGGGAATAATACATGAATAATGTTATGAAATCTTTCCTAGGTTTTGACCTTTCAACCAATGAGCAGTAACACAAGTGATAGACCAAATGGCTGGGGCTAAAATGATCAAATGATTCGTTCTGTAAAGGCATAATAACAAAGTCTTTACTTTATATTATATGATCTAATATTCATATACACATCACCTGGTTTTTAGGGACAATAAAGCATATTTTGCATGAAATTGAATCTCTTTCTCAGCAACTTTTTTGATTTTATTTTTCATAACAAAAGGTGGTCTAGCACTTTTTCTTTGTTGTTACTTGCTTTGGATAATTTCAATTCGAATGAACTTATATAATTGTCTATTATTACCAAGCTATATAATTTAACAAGGTCTTTTATTCCATATACTATGCATGGGAATTGTTTAATTATTGAGCTTATTTTAATCAATATTATTCTTGCTAATTGCGGTCCAATTATCTATTAGACCTGTTCAACCATGGTTTTTTACGTAGCAAAAGTTTTATGATATTTTTTTTTTTCAAATCTTTTGAAGGGGCAAAAGTTTAAATTAATCAATATACATTGATCAATGAGACTTCTTATTTTTGTTGGCATCAAGCAATCACTAGCTCCAAGCTAGTCGATCATCCTTAGATAGGATCTATCTTACCAAGAGCCCACCGCATACCCGAATAATATTTATTTAGAGAATATACAAGTACTATAAATAAGCCCCCTCGCTCCTTCATCTATTAAGAAGAAGAGTATGAGAGACAAGTTTGACCTAGCTTAACAATACTCCATTTATTTCAAATTTATTTGTAGTACAACATTGCCTGACATATGTGTCAACGCAGAAGTTAACCAAATATATCCATATTGCATGTATTTATTAGATCACGAACTAATTCAACGATATGTCTGGTCTTTATATAATAATGGATAATATAGATGAAGTAAGTTAACACATTAAAATTAAACGAATGCTATTCAGAAACATATGGAGTAACAAGTAATACGAATTAATTAGTTGACCAAATAAAGGGGGTGTTTGGTATGAAAATTTGTAATGTAGGAAACGTAATCAAATAAGTGTTTCCCTTTTTATTAGTTTGGTATGAGCTACAAGTAACAAATACCGTTTCCAAAGGGTAACAAAATCCCCCAAATTGTTACCCTTATCCAACTAGTGGAAACAAAATGTGTTTCCCTCCTCAATTATAAACTCCTCAATTTGTTTTCATTCTATAAAGATACCAAACACATATCAAAAGTAACATATATCATTACCCTTCCCCTTATATAGTTATATAAATTCTTCCATTCCGTTTATGAAATTTATACCAAACACCAAACCTCAGTTTTTATATTAAGGGCATAAATAATATACTCAATAATAGCAATATGATGTGACAAATAAGTAACTAGATAAACATATATTGGACAAATTTAAAGGATAAACCATAACAATGTGCTTATTGAATACTATATCATGTGTTATAATTAATTATAATATGCATAACATAGAGTCAAAGAATATTGTAACGACAAAGAAACCAACCAAGGAGCAAAAGTATATAGTTGGTTGCTCCAGAAACCAAAGCTTAAGTCAAGGTTTTACAATTCTGTTAAGAAAATTATTAGTATTCTTAAGTTGACTTATATTCTTGCCTAAGCTGACTTTTATAATTTCATAGTTTATAAAATTATAGTACATACCAAAGTTTGATGAATATATAGGGCCAAACTTCTAAGTCCTAATTAGGTTGTTTTTAGTAGCTTGGTTTTGAGCTGTTTGAGGCAAAGACAGAATTACCTTTCTCAATGTTACACGTTCATTTCTAACGTACAATTATTGATTTAATAAAACTTTTTAATTATTTAATTATACTTTTTATTTAATTAAGGAGTTGATTTTTGAAACTTAATTCATTCGTGCTCGGATCTTCAAGGAACAAAGCCAAACACTAGTAAACAATAGTAACTAGACAAAACTTTTACAAATGAAAATATAATATGCAGCAAATGTCATCGATTTACGAGGGCAAGAAATAAAAGATTATGAGTATGTCTTCGTCTTTAAACAATACTTGTAAGTCACACTTCTCCATTTTAGGTCGCAGGTCGCCATACTAGATAATATGTATGTTATATTCAATTAATCCATAATTCAAATACTGAAGTACGCAATATAAATGTAAAATTTTGACAAATTTGTAATAATTGATTCTCAATCAAGTAAGCGATAAATGTCTTATTAATCAAGAACTGAGGGAGTTTATCAAAAGTCATACATGACTAAATTAAAGGCTATAATTACAAATTTGGCAAAGTATAAGTGTGAACATTGGCTACATTGACAATATTAATTGTAAAAGAAATCCAATAATTGCAAGAACTACTGGTCACGCATAGTCCGTCAGTCAATCTTTGTTTAGTGAAGATGTTCCAATAATGACGGAGAATGTCCCGATTTTCTAGTGTTGTCAAATTTCAAACCAAAACCGTTTAACTGTCCGAAACCAACCGACTCAAATGAGAACCGAACCGATTAAAAACCGATTTTGTAAAATCGAAAACCGACCCGAACCGTATTTAAGTAAAACCGAAACCGAACCGATCCGAATAATGTCAAACCGTATAAGAACCGAACCCGTTAACAAACCGAACCAGTTTTAAACCGAACTGAAATCAAACCGAACCGAAAAAGAACCGAACCGTTTCTAACCCGAAACCGTTTGAACCGAGGTAAAAACCATTTACACCGAACCGTTAACAAACTGCAACCCGTTTGCACCGAACCGTTAATAAACCGAACTGTCTATAAATCAAACTGTAATTTCGATCTCACAATAACTCATCAAATCATGATTATGACACATCAATTAGATGATTGAATAAGAAGCAGCTAACAATGTGATAGTAAAACAATAATAATTCATTAATACACTAAACTTTTATAATCTACGTTACTTCGTAATAAACTAGTAACATCAGTATGACTAAACTTGAAAATAACATGACATGTATTTTTAAAATCGATGAGAATTTGTATATAATATAATGCCTAATGCCTAAATATGAAGTGATGAAGTCTCGGCTTGATATAAAACTTGCTAACGAGCAAAAGGTTAGTTAGCAAGTACTATGAAATTTCAAACCAAAATTGTTTAACTGCCCGAATCCAAACGACCCGATTAAAAACCGAC